GTCCCATTGGTCCCTCGGCTGCTCTGTGCTGCGCTGTCTTTCTCAGTGGTCTCTCTCTCGTCACGTGCTCTTCCTTCAGATGTTTCTCCCTGGTCAGGCAGATTTTAGGTTGGCTTAAGGGGAAGTAACTGTTGCGCATGCACCATAGCATGTTTACCAGGCCTGTCAGCACCTCCTCCTACATATCCAAACTTTTTATTTATTTATATGCATCATTCCCATGGGAGCGGGGGTGCTTGGTCCCAACCTTGTTGACCCCACCTCAGAGAGCCTCCAACATGAGGGACTGTGCCTATCTTAGGTTGGCTTGTCAAGCAAGCTCTTATCTGTCATTGACTACCAGTCCTGGAAGGAGGTGTTCTCTGGCCAGGAGTTTGTGGCGTGGGGATGGAAGGCTGATTATACCATGGCCTCTTCAATGATACTGAGTCATGCCTGGGCCACCCATGAGGGCGTTCACATCCTGTATGTCAGAGGGCCACGAGAACTTGCAGGGTAGCCAGGTTGACAGTGCGCTGATGGCGGATATTCTGTAGGAGACACTTAAAGAGGATGAGCAGTAACAGGAGAGCCACTCCCATGACAGCATATGTGACTAACCAGGAGGGGTTGAAGATACTTTTATGTTGGATCAGATTTATCCCAGCATGCCTTTGTCTAAAGAAAGTACCAAGGCTCTTGTTAAATTTAGCTGGGAGACTTGTTCTCGAAATAATAAAGAATAATTCAGGAACTGTTGTGTCCAGGTTCCTTTTATATATTTTGCCAATTCCTGTCGGGCCTGTGAGACATTGGCCTGTGACCTGGTATGGTGTCAGGCAAAAGGCTGGAAACCTAGGGTCACAGGACAAAAGGACCATTTCTCGGAGGAGCTGTATTTCTTCACCCAGTAAGTCTACCTGTTGTTGGAAGACATGAATCGCTTGGTAGACATGTTGATTTATTAAATCCCGGGTGCATAATGTCTCAGCTGATTTTTCTACGATTTGATTAAGTACCTGAACAGTAGCAGCAGTTTGCGTCAGGGCAACCATGGCAGCGGTGCCCGCGGCTACTGCTGTTACAATTGCTTTGATAATGGCAGCAGTGATACCGAAATCACATTTTGCCCATGGGAGGGGCTGGAGGTCAGTAGCCTCCGTGAGGGTTATGGCATGAAAATGGGTAGCATTAATTACTGGTACCTGAATGGTGGCAGGTTTCCTCACTAGGAGTATCATTTTGGTGGGGAAGTGCCAGCAGGCAGCCAGAACACTTGTGGAACTTGTACAATTAAGGGTATTGTCTGAGAGGTCAAGTTGCATTGGACAATACCAGGAAGAAGGGGGGTCTGATGCAAACAGGCGTTGGGTATATAGAGATGATTTTTCCTTGCTAATAGTCAAATTTGTTGGCCAGGGGTTGTTCCCATTACTTTGAGAATATGACCCATTGAACAAGGAGGCATTGTTGTGGAAAAGGATGGGCTGAAGATCCAAGCATGCTAAGGTCCTGCACATTTCCCAATTGCCATAGATGGTATGAAAGGTGCGTGTTAACGGGGCACGTTTGTAAAAGTTGGGGCTTGATTTATTATCAGGGAGCTCATGCCAGATGGCCAGGGTTTTACTATCACCATTGGTTTTGAATGGGTTCAAAAGCCTCGTTGGGAGGGTGGTGAGGCAGTGTTCCTACAGGAGTGGGAACTGGAGGTCAGTGGGGAGTGTCCTGGTCTTGGGGCATTTGGGAATTAGAGGTGGGTGAGGAGGTAGGCAGTTAGTATCATTACAAAGTGCTGTCTGCTCCATGGGCTGAGTGACGAGGGCAAGAGTCCATTATAGCTTGGGGTTGGAACTTCACCCTCTTACTGGTGAGGCTGAGGATTGCCCCGATGGGAGTTTAAATTCTCTCTCTTGGGTTGTTGAGCACCTGAGGGCTGGGAGCAACAGTCATGGGCCCAGTGAAAGCCCTTGTTGCATTTTGGGCAGTGGGTCTTAGGATGCGGATTGGGACAGTCACAGCACAGGTGGCTGAGTTTGCCACAGCCCGAGCAGGTGTGATCCGAGGGTCGGCCCCCTTTGAGTAGTTGTTGGATCACTGCGTGACAAGAGGGCATCAAGGGAGGTGGTCAGAGCCTCAGTGGAGCCGGAGGCAGGATCAAGATCTCTGGTAGCTAAAACCCATTTGTGGATATCATCATCGTGGACAGCTACCACTGCATTATAAGTGGGGGCATTGAGGCCTTCCCAGGTTAATTGATAAGCATATCTCATGTAGGGCCAGGATCGACCCTACCTACGTTCAACTCTTGTAACTCTTGTAACTCTGTAACTCTTATAAGAAAGTCAGTGAAAGATTCCCTGGATTGTTGGACAAGAGTGCAAAAGTACGCAGACGGGTCCCTCGGGGTACATACCTTAAGGGCCTTGAAGGCCAGATCTGATACCTGTTGAAAGTAAGCGTAGGCACCTATGGTAGACTGGGAAACAGGGTTGATGTACTGACCACGACCCATGAGCATATCCAGGGTTATACTGAGGCCATATTGGAGATTGAGCTGAGATTGTGTTTAGGCCTGGTCATCATAGGCAGAGTGCCAGCTAAGGAACACAGAAGGCTCCAGGACAGCTTTAAGAGGGTGATACCAATCATAATGGGTTTGCTGTTGAATGGCCCATTGGTATAAGACCTGCTCAAAATAGGGAGAATCTGGGCCTGACTCATTAGCTGCCTTTCAAATCAAGGAGAGATCTGTAAGAGGGGTAGGTGTCTAGGGCTGATTTGCTGCATTGGGCCCTACATTGACGGGGTAAACCTCAGGGCATTGTCCTGGAGCTGAGGGGCATGGCACAACAGGCACAAGTGGACACGAGGGTGGCCACAGGCATGAGGGTGGCTGTGGGGGGGGCACCTGGCAGTGGTGGGGGTACAGGCTCAAATGGCCTGGTTGTGGTGCTCAACTCACGTCATGGATATTTGGGGTGGGATACTGAGGGGGAGGGTTAGCAGCAATAGCAGGTGGAAGACATGCCTATGAAAGGTGACAAGGCTTTGCAGGCACTGTTGTGACAGCCCCGTCATCCTCCTCCTCATCAGAGGACGAAGTGGTAGTCTCTGTTGCAGACCCAGCGCCAGCAGGTGGTGAGGTAATGGACAGATTGGCATTAGCCTGTTCTTGACAGTATTTGTTGTGGGTGGCAATGACCTCCTATGGGGAGGAGGATTTAAGACTGGCTATAATAGCAAGCAGGATGGGAACAAAAGGAGCAGAAGGGATAACCCCTGACCCTATCTCATGCTTCCTCACGAGAAAGAGGACTCACATCCATAAGTCTGGTTCCCACATATTTTCTGGGGACATCCAAGGGGCCAAGATTGCAGCCTCATTCCCAAAGTCCTCCAACTCAGCAGACTTAACCTTGAGCCCTCTGGTAACTAAGAGAGATTTTAGGGCACGGACTTGGGGTTCCTTACAATAGGAGGGAAGTTTGCCCATTTTGGCAAACCTTAGACAGACAAAACAGAGTGTGTGTCAGACCAAAATGTCTTGTGCTTAGTGGGGGACTTCTGTGGTTTGTTAGGCCACAGCCGTATGCCCACATGGTGTCTCTGGTCTGGGAGCGTATTTCAGGAGAACGTTCCGGGTTCTGTCTCCTGGGGGGTCAGCCCTTATGTGGAGACACCGGGTGAACCGAAACTAAAAGAATGTACCTTCCTAACACTAAGACAAACAAACATAAAGAGAGAGAGAGAGAGCGAGTGAGAGAGAGAGACCCTTGTGCTTATCTTGATGGTCTGCCCATTAAAGGGCTAGTTGACATGGGGGCAGACATCACCATCCTCATGGAAACCAAGGCACTACATTTAAGTCTTCAATGCATTTAGAATTTTTTTTTCTGTAGCTGGTGAGAAATAGTGGTCTGGTTTCATTTTTTCTGCATGAGGGGTATCTAATTTTCCTAGCACTATTATTGAAAAGACGTCACATCTCCAGTGTGTCTTCTTAGCAACTTTGTTAATAACCCATTGGTAGCACCAAATTCTCTCCTGGGAGACCCACATGCACTGTCTCAGCTCCCAGGCCCATACTGTCTTCACCTGCCCGACCAACAAAACCAACACAATACATTCTGTTTGGGTTTTTGTATAATAATGTTTATGATGCTGGAAGAGAGTTACTTACAAAGGCATGCACCCACGGGCTCTTTTCCCTACATCTTGGCTGAGCTTTTTGAGATCTGCTGCTGCCAGCACCCTGCCAGTGAGTGCCCTGTCAGTGTTCCACCAAGATGGAGACTGCCTATGCTTCCCAGCTTCCACAGCATCTGTCCTTAGATCCACCTCTTCATGCAATTGAAGCTGACTGATTGGGTGGGAGGGGTGACTGTCTCCCCCTCTGTCTATGGGATCTCTTAGGGTTCAGACCTTCAGCTGCTACTGGTTCTTTGGAGGACATGCCTATCCATTGACTGTACATGCTTCAGGTTTTTTCTGGGATCTCTAATTTGTTCCATTGGTCTATGAATCTGTTTTTGTACCAGTATCATGTTTCAATACTACCCCTTTGTAGTATATTTTGAAGTATAATGCTTCCCATTAGTTTTTTTTTTAAGGGATTACTTTGTCTATTTGCATTTGTTGTGGCTCCATACACATTTTAAGATTATTTTTTCTAATTCTGTAAGAAATATTATTGATAGTTTGATAGGACTGCACTGAATCTGTAGATCTCTTTTGGTAATGCAGACATCTTAACACTAATGTTTCTTGTAACACACTAACATGTAAAGATTTTCCATTTTTGTGTCATCTTCAATTTATTTCCTCAATGCTTTATTATTTTTATTATTTATTATTTATTTATTTTAGTCAGAATCTATGGCTAGCCTGGAAGTTGTTATATAAACCAGGTTGGTTTCAAACCCACAGATCCACTTGCCTCCAAAGTGCAGGGATTAAATGTGTGTTCCATCATGCCTGGCAATATTTTATAGTTTTTATTGTAGAGATCTTTCACCTCAAAATTTTTAAAAAATGATTTATTTTTATTTGTACAAGTGTTTTGATTGCTGGTTTGTTTACTGGTATGTGAGTAGTTCCCCCTAAAGGCTGGAAGGGGGTGACAGAGCCACCATGTGGGTGCTGGGAATTGAACCTGGGTCCTCTGGAAGAATAACAAGTGTTCTTAACCCCTGAGCTATGTCTCCAGCCTGAGGTCTTTCACCTTTGGCTAAACTTATTCCTAACTTATTAGTTTATTTACAGCTATTGTAAGATTTCTTTCTTGATTTCCATTTCAGATAACTTGGAGTTGATACTATCAATTTTTTTGTGTTGATTTTTAAAGTTTGCTTAATTGTTTATTAGTTCACATATATGTATATATATTGGTGGGAGTCTTATTTCTTTGGTGTTCAATGGACAGAACTGCAGGTCTACCTTAATACCATGTGAGAAAGATCCAATGGGTGAGGAAATGTAGGTCTTATTGGCACCTATGCCAATAAGGGCATCTTGGTGTGAACTGTAACACAGGTGTAAAAGGGAGAATGGTCCTGCATGGCACTGTGTCATGTGAGAACAATTTTGACAACGTGATAAAGTGAGGAGCCAGGTATGAGATTGCTCCTGAGTGAATTGGAAGCAAGAAAATAGAAAAGCTTTGTGTGGCTGATTCACCTAATTTATAAATCATGAAAACCATACAGAATGCAAGTCAGCTGATTAATACGCAGCACACCTTGGAATTAAGGCAGCAGGATGCAGCGGATGCTAAAAAAGAAAAAAAGAAAAGGAAAAAATTGAGGCATTTCCCACACAACATATGTTTAGTTCAAATTCTCATATTATAGACCCATAAGTTAGAATCTCTTCCTTTTAGGTTAGGTAAGAAAATGGGCAGATTAAACAGGCTATGAGAAAAATTTACAAAATAACATGATGTTCTCAGGGTGACAAAATAGATTAGGAGGCTTACGCTCTGTGAGAAATGCAGATGCAATTATTTTATTTGGGGATTGGTGGGTAAAGACAGGTGTCAGAATTAGAATCTTTTTTTTTTTTTTGAGACAGGGTCTTTCTGTGTGACCCTGACTGGCCTGGAGCATATAGCTATGTAGACCAGGTCTGCTTCTGCCTCCTGAGTAATGGGATTAAAGATATGTACCGCTACTCTGGGCTAGAACTGGGAATCATGGAATTTCCCCCTGAAATAGAACAACAATGGCCTCTGTAAAAATATGTTCTTTGTATATTTTATTATTACTGGGGGGAGAAGGGAGCAGACAAGTGTCATGGAGAGCACGAGGAGGTCAGAGGACAACTCTGTGGAGCCAGTTCTCTCCTTCCACCTTTATGTGGGTTCTGGGGATCAAATCCAAGTTGTTAGTCTTTATGGTAAGTGTTTTTATCTGTAGGCCTATCTCCCCAGCCCTGTAAACAATGTTATTAAATTTGGACCATGATTTTATAGGTTGACATCATTAGTTATGTGTTGTATAAGAAAGTGCCAATTTGAAAATAAAATGCTAATGATAAAGGTATCTATTCTCTTAATTCTTCCAGGATTACAAATTTTATAAGTTAACAATAAAGCACAGTGCAGAGAGCAAGGAGAGGCTTTGAGTTCCTGAAGGATTTAATTGTCTGTGTAACTTCCATAGTAGTGACTACTCTCTACTCCCACATCCACCTACACCCAGATGTACAGATCAAAATAATAGGCGTGATTTACCATTGTCCAGTTTTCATTAGTTCAACTGCTTCATTGATCTTATCCAGAGTCAGAGTGTGGGTAATCAATGAATCTAGGTTAAACTTCTTTGCCATATAGTCAGAAACCAGTTTGGGAATGTGCTGTCTAGTCTTCCAGCCTGGAAATATATAGATTAACACAGATTAATTGACAAATTTTATATATGAGGCTTTGCTATAAAAGAAAGGCCATGTAGGGAATGGGGGTTGGATTTGATCAAAACACATTATTTGCATGTATGACACTTAAAAATATTTATTATTTTTATTTTATGTGTGTGTGTATTGCCTGCATGTGTGTTAGTGCACCCATGTTGTGCAGTGCCTTTGGAGGTCAGAAGAGGGTATGGATCCCCTTGAACTGGAGTTACGGACTGTTGTTAGCCACCATGTGGGTGGTGGGAATTGAACCTGGGTCCCCTTCAAGAGCAGCCAGTGCTTTTAGCCGCTGAGCCATCTCTCAAGCCCACATATATGACATCTCTCAAGCCCACATGTATAACATTCTTAAACAATAAAAAAGATAAATTTCTAAAGAAGGAGGAGGAGGAGAAGGGGAGGAGGGGAGAGGAGGTGGAGGGTGGCCGGGAGAAGAGCCATGTAAAACAACTGCTGGAGATAAGGAAATCCAAGTCTGCCATTAAGTTGCCTCAGTTGGCAGGACAATGTCTATCCCAGCACAGGGCTGTGCTCCTTCAGGGGACCTCTGGCACCACAGAGAGGAATAAATAAAGCCAATAGAATGTAAACCTCACCTGGAGATGTTCTTGGTGTTAGGTTATAATCTTTGTAGAACAGTGAATTCAGATGTAATGTCTAACAAAGGCCAAAGTCTTGGGACTCATGATATAAATGAATTAAAAAGTTAGATATAAGGGCTGGAGATGTAGTTCAGATGGGAGAGCACTTGGCGACATGTATGAGGCACTGCACTTTCAAAAAGTATAGAAATAGCACTTTGTGCTGGGTGTGGTGGTACATGCCTATAGACCCAGCACTTGGGAGGCAGATCTTTGTGAGTTCAAGGCCAGCCTGGTCTCCATAGTGAGTTCCAGGAAGCTGGGGCTACAGGGGGATCCTGTTTCCAAAAGACAAAAAAAGAAAAAAAGAAGAAAAAAAAGAAATAGCACTTTGTGTGTTTTATGTTTTGCTGTGTGTATGTGTGTGCTTGTGTGTTTTGATATGTAGCGTCATGAAAAAGCCAAATAACCAAAGGAAAGAGAAGCACACACTATCCAAGTGATCCCAAGGAAAGAAGAAAACCACCTGTATAAAGTACTAAAATGTGTTCTCTGGAAGCAAAGCTTACAAAAGAACGATGGGGTCAGCCAAAGCAGCACCAGCTTACCAATGCATTTTCTCTAGTCCCACGATTTTCAGAAGGTGTATTGAATTTGGCAGTGCCAAGTGTCCTGATCAATGAGGCACTATATAGAATTTTCTGACCTTTCTAGAAATGGTGAGCATGGTGTAGCTGCAACATGCAATCTTCTATTACCAGCTGAGTGTCCTCTCTCTGCTTGTGATTTTGTGATAGGATTTTGGCAGCTGCTTTTCTTTCTTTCTTTCTCTTTTTCTTTCTTTCTTTCCTTCTTTCTTTCTTCCTTCCTTCTTTCCTTCCTTCCTCTTTCTTTCTTCCTTCCTTCCTTCCTTCCTTCTTTCTTTCTTTCTTTCTTTCTTTCTTTCTTTCTTTCTTTCTTTCTTTCTTTCTTTCTTTCTTTCCTTTCTCTCTTTTGTATAATTTTTATTGAATTTATGGATCATACAAAACAGCTTAATCATCTTTATACCACCCCCAACATCCTCCATAGCTTCCCCCACCAGATTTCATGCATGCTGTCATTTTTGTTAAGGCCTATGGAGTCAAGTTAGTGTACCCAGATGTCCCTCAGTACAAGTTCATCCACTGGAGTCTAGTCAGCCTATCTAGAGTCCCCCCTTAAAGAGGATCAGCTCTCCTTTGCCCAGCAGTGTTTACTATGAACAGTTCTTTGGCTAAGGTTGGGTCCTTCTGCCCATTTCCCCAGTTCTATGCTGGGTTTTTGTCTGCTTGAGTTTGCATGGGTCTTGTGCATGCTGACACTATTGCTGCAGATTTGTAAGAGCAAGGTCCCAGGAGCCTGTAAAAACTCTCTTTCCATATGGTCATGCACCTTCTCCCCTGGCTCTTAAAATCTTTCTGCCCCCTCTTCTTCAGTGGTCCCCGAGCCCTGGGTAGGTGAAGTTTAATATAGGAGTCCTCTCCAGGGATCTACACTCTGCAGACTCTTGTTCTCTACGCTTTGGCCATTTTTGGTCTTTTGTGTTCATTGTTGCATGAGGGAGCATCATTAATGAGAACCGAGAGATGCATTAGTCTTCTCTCTACCTCTTGTTCTGCTATGTCCCATGAGCCTTAGGTGTACAGGTTCCATTGTAGATGTGTCACTTAGGGTTGGGCGTTTCACAGACACTTATTCTCTGTGTGTGACCAGCTATGGAACTCTGTAATAGTCTCCATTTTTACAAAAGAATGTGTTAGTTCAAAATCCTACTGAAAAATTACACATACAATGTCTCTACTTGTGTCCATGTGTATAGCTGAGGCTGTATAACAAGAAAGAGTGCCAGACAGGAGAAACCTCCCTTCAAGTTGTTGGTCAGGGTAGACCAAGACTCTAAAATTTATATAAGCTGTTGCTACAGCCCTTGACTATACTCTCTGTAGGAGGAATTAGATTCATTCGTGATCACTATATTTATGTTTACATACCTAACAAGTTAGGTGATTTATGAGGGTTATTTAAGATATTGGAGATCTTATTTAACAAGATTTAGTTGAGTACATGTATTTTGAGTAAACATTGCCATGTAGGAATACAACAGGGGAAAAGGCAGTGGTGACTCCAAGCAGAGGAGTTTGAATTACATTATAACATTTTCCTTGCAGGCCTTGCCATTACTCGCTGTATAAATGGAGTGAATGAGATGCCTGATGTCTGTGGCAGTGCACTGCCATTGATAACTTGGGAATCACAGTTCCCCAGAGCAAATAATTTAGATAACTCCTGATTCTCATCTCTTTGTCCAAATACTCAGAATCTTTATAAATATCAGGTTGCTTGCTGAGCAGCCCAGAATCCCAGGCAGACTTACATAATTTCATTTATTATTTTATTTTCTTAATAAAAGACTCTTCCAGCCAGGCGTGGTGGCGCACGCCTTTAATCCCAGCACTCGGGAGGCAGAGGCAGGGGGGGGTTTTTGGGGTTAAGGGCACGCTGGGCTACATAGTGAGTTCCAGGACAGCTGGGGGGGCAGGGGGGCACCCGTTCCCAAAAAAAAAAAAAAAAAAAAAAAGACAAAAAAAAAGGCTCTTCTAAAGTCTTAAGTTTAAAAAATGGGAAGCAAAGGATTCTGTGAAAAGATTTCTTTCTCTGGAAAAAGAAATTCTCATTTGCTTGTTCTAAAGTAGTATCTCTCCTCCTGTTTTAGTAGTATTCCTTTACAACCATGAAGCCATTGTTTTAAATATCTTTGGGGTTGGAATAGTGACAGTTCCTTGTTTGCAATAAGATTTTATAATCTTTTTTATAATGACTGCTAATGGTTAAGAATATACTTCAAAGAATCCCAGTTAACATTTACATAACTCCTCTAGGGTACGGCTACTGATTGCAACAAAATGTTAACGTTTGAGCATTTTGGGGGGCTGGAGAGATGGCTCAGTGGTTAAGAGCACTGACTGCTCTTGCAGAGAACCTGGATTCAGTTCCCAGTACTCATATGGCAGCTAATAACTGTCCATAACTCCAATTACAGGGGATCTTATGCCTTCTTCTGACTTCTGTGGGCATTGCACAACATGGGTACACTTACACACATGCAGGCAATACACACATACGCATAAAAATAAAAATAAAAATAAGTAAATAAAAAGTTTGGGCACCTTTGAATCCAGGGCCTCAGCATGCTAGGTAAGCACTCTGCCACTGTCTAGGGGATAATGTTTAGTTTTTTTTTTTTTTTCAGTCAATTAAAAAAAAATCTTACCAAGGGACAAAGAACATATCCAACATCCACTCTCTTACCTTGGGTATTCAACATTGAAGCAAACAATATAGTATAGAGCTCTCTTTTTTATGTTTTTCCTTAGGCATTTCTGGGACATTTTCTATTTCCTCCTTCCAACTCCTCAAGAATCTCTAGAAGTCTCAATTTCATACATACCTCCCAAAACAGAGCCTTTCAAAGTACGTCCTGAGAAAAACATTTTTGTACTGATGTTGAGTTGAACATTTTCACCTATCAGTCCAACAATCACACAGACCCCATGGTCCTTGTGGCTGGAGGCCAGGGCAGCTGCCTGTCACAAAGCAATGCAAGACAGAAGGGCTTAAGTCACCTACTTGAGAGTTGGACCTATGCTTTTTCAAAAAAGATTTATTTTATTTTATGTGTATGAATGTTTTGTATGTGCAGCCACATGTGTGCTTGGTGCCTGCAGAGGCCAGAAGATGGCAGGTTCCCTGGAACTGGAGTTACACTTGATAGTGAGCCTCCACATGTTTTGTATGTGCAGCCACATGTGTGCTTGGTGCCTGCAGAGGCCAGAAGAAGATGGCAGGTTCCCTGGAACTGGAGTTACACTTGATAGTGAGCCTCTACGTGGATGCTGGGAACCTGAGTCCCTGCAAGAGTAGCCAGTCCTCTTAGCCATGTCTTCGGCCCCTGGACTAAGTTAAATTCATCTTGGCTACTAAACGGCCTATGATTTTCTGATTGTCCATGTCCTTATTTGAAATAACATTTATATTATGAAGATGTTCTTTAACATAGGTAAGACATTATGTCTGCCTAGAATAATACTTCTCCCTTTAGGATTCAATAAATGGAAACAAAAATGAAAACAATTAGAGCTATGGTAATGATAATGGCTTCTGTAAGGATGGTTACTGGTGCAGGTTGCTGGCTAGAGTCCATATTTTCTTTTAGATGTCAAGAGGGAACAGTCAGGTATTTACATAATATGACATGCTAACCAAAGTGATCATCAGACGTCTTCCCATTAGATATTTTTAATGGCTATTTATCAGAGCAAGACCGAGACAAAGGCTTGTCTGTATCTTTTCACAGGTGAGAGGATTTATCTACAGTGAATAAGGGAACATTTTCTATGCTGGGAAAAACACTCAGGTTGGAAAGGATTTTTCTTTGGTTTCTGTATTGCTGCCTGGAAGATAGAGCTATGCAACAATAATGCACCATTTCTTCAAGAACAAAAAGAAGGCAAGCCTTGGATTCTGGTGTACCTTACTCCCATTTTTCCATGTCCTTATGTTAACTGTGCTCAGCTAGAAAAACCACCACTATTTTTCTTCATTTTTGAAATGAATCCATTTAACCAAGATTAGGAAATACTTTTCTTGGTTTAGTGCCTCAAATCCAACATGAAATATCTACTGAAAGTAAAAAGCTCATTTTTTATAGGATAATTTATCTAACCTTCATCTCACTTAAACTTTCTGTCTTGAAAATTACAGTTGTGTGGCTGCATGTTGCTATTCAATTACAGAATTCTGTCCAAACTGTTAGGCATTGTCTGCTTGTTTGAAGGGGAAGTATGTTGGAGCAGAAAGGGGAAAACAAAAATTCAATATGGGGGTTCTAGAGTCGATGGGTTAACACGAGTGGGCAGAATGTATTAGCTGCTATGTCATGGGTTACAAAAGAAAATTAAATAGAGGAATGTGGAAGGAATTTAGAATGTCCATTCAATTAAAACATAAAACAATGACTGCTATAAATACTGGTAATTTTCACTCCAAAAATCACATACCACAGTTTCTGGCTTTCCAGTGACCTCAAAGCAAAAGTCTGCACCAGCACCCATCATATCAAATAAGACTTCCTGAATGGGTTTCTCAATGTCCTGTGGGTTGATGCACTCAGTGGCACCCATTGTCTTGGCCTCCTCAAGTCTGTATTTGTTGATGTCCACTGCGATGATCCTGGCTGCTCCTGCTGCCTTACAGCCGATGACGACAGACAGACCAACTCCTCCCAGGCCAAACACGGCACAGGTGGACCCCGGGGTCACCTGTGTACAGAGGCAGAAATCCAAAAGCAAAAAGAACATGGGTTATTTTTCCAAGCTAGTGAACTCATGCTTCACTCTTGCTAATAAGTAAGCAGAATACCACTGAGCTGTGTCCATAGTCCTATGTCCTTACCAACTAGGGGAGGAGAGCTAGACAGTCTGAAGTCCATGAGACAAAAGAAAAAGTCATTTTCACATAAAATATAACTAGAAAGCTTTAGATTCTCAGGACCTTTCTATGCATATTTTCTGTCACAGGAACAAAAACCTATATACAAGGAGTTTCAAGTCCCAGGAAGGAATTCACATAAACAGAGGTAATGTAATGAAGTTTCACTGAAGTGTAAGATTCATTTGTCAGAGTATTTATTTAATTCTAGATAGGTTATTTGTTTGTTTGTTTGTTTGAGACAGTGTCTCCCTGTAGCCCCAGCTGGCCTGGAACTTGCTATGTAGACCAGGATGGCCTCTATCTCACTGAGATCCACTTGCCTTTGTCTCCTGAGTGCTGGGATTCACAGATAAGTTTGTGTTTTTTTCATTAGGTGCTATGACCAGATATGTTGGGATAAGTCAAGAGTGCCTGGAATGTAGAACATGGCTGCCAGGCCGGATACCTAGTGAGGGCAGCAGGAAGCTGGCCTGCTCCATTCTAGGGACACTGTCTCTTATCCAACAACCCCCAAGCAAAACCATTAAGCTTCTAATCCTTTAATCCTAACTGGGTCCCTTGTAGATGATGCAACAGGAGGACAAGACAAAGGCTATGTAGCCTTAGTAGCCCCCTCCGTCCCCCTACCTGCTGGCCTGCCCAACCCTGCCTCTTAACTCCTGCCTCTTTGCTGGTGAAGCTTTTCTATATAAACTTCTTCTTCTGCCATAATAAACAAGCTGTCCGCTGACACAGCCTCCAGGGTGTTTTCTTCCCATCATACTCAATGCCCAAGACCTCCCTCCTCCCTCTGGTCTCTCTCCTCACCCTGACCTTACGCTATGGGGACTGGTGGTCTGCAGGGTCTCCCAGCCAGCAGCGGGGTTCTGGTTGAGGGGAGGCTGGCAAGGCACGATGAATGATGTGGTTCAACCCCTTATCCCAATGCTTCTATTTAAAGTGAATGTAGAAGCCCCTCACCTTGGCAGTGTTGATTGCAGCACCGAAGCCAGTGGAAAACCCACAGCTAAGTATGCACACTTTTTCCAGAGGAGCAGCTGCATCAATCTTGGCAACCGAGATTTCCTTTGTCACAGTGTATTCAGAAAAGGTGCTTATGGTACCATATTGATATACTGACTTCCCCTTGCAGGTGAACCTACTGGTGCCATCGGGCATCAGGTGGGTTTCTGATGATCTTTTATAGATGAAAGCAAACAGAAATATAATTGTGAATTAAAAAATTGAGATTTCTTCTGGTGAAATTAAATTGTTTTTTGCAAAAAGATAGTGCTATAAAGACTTACCTAATTTCTGTACACAAATTGCTCTCAGAATTCAGGCAAGTGTTACATTCTCCACATTGTGGTATACCCAATATGATAACTTTATCACCTAAAAGAGCAAAGTAATTTCTTATTAGTATGCTGTGTTTTCAGAGTAGAGTTGTCTCTTAGGACTTCAACAGCAAGGCATAAAGAAGACATGTAATGGAGAATAAGTGCTTTCTAGCGCGGTGCTAAAACACTAACCAAAACCAGCTTGGGAAGGAAAGGGCTTATTTTATTGTACATATACAAGGCAGGGTTCATCAGTGAGGCAAGTCAGGCATGGACTCAGGGCCGGAACCTGGGGCCAGAAAATGAGGCACAGACGAAGTAACCATGGTTACTGTTTTGTTCCCGTGGTCTGTGCTCAGCCTGCTTTTTATATAACCCAGGACCACCTGCCCAAGGGTGGCATCACCCATAGTGGGCTGGGTCCTCCCTCATCACTCAACAATCAAGAAAATGTCTCACAGACAGGTTCACAGGCCAATCCCATAAAGGAAATTTCCCAGTTGAGGTTCCCTCTTCCCAGGTGTGTCCAGTGACCAGCCAGCCCTAATTGTCAAATCCACAACACAACTTTTATATCCAAGAATATTGTGGAAGAGGAGGTCAAAAGATTGTAAGGGCTGTAGGACCAGGATACTCAGTGTGAGATAGTGCCTTTGAGACATTATAGGAATGCTGCTCCCATGAAATCTCGACAGTATGGTTGTCTGTAGAAGTCCTACACAATGACACCAATCAACATGCCAACAGGGATGGGGAAAACTTCCCAAAGTTCTACCCCTAGATGAAGAGCCACAGGCAGTCAGTGACTGCTAAGGCTGACTGCCAAGGGAGGAAGAATCAGTGGTCTCCAGTGATAAACCCTCTGGTATGTTACCCAATCCTAAGAGGTCAGCCCTAAGCATATGGGCTACACTAACTGGAGTCAGTATGATGTATGTGTGTCTGTGGGTATATACATGTATGTATGCAGCAATAATAGAGAAGAGGCCTGAGTTTGAGAGGGGCCAGAGGGACACAGGAGAAGTTGGGGTGGGGGGAAATGATGTGTATATGGTACTCATGTATAAAAGTCTCAAAAAATTTTTTTTAAAAAGGGGAAAATCCCCTGTAAGTTTGTTTGTAGGTGATTTTATTATTAAAGAAGAGTAAAACATATAACTTGTAACTATGTAAACATCACAAAAGTGGTAAGTGTCACTCTGTTCTTTAGGTCCTTAGTTCCAAACCCTAGAGATGCCTATTCTGACTAGTGGTAAGTTTCAGGGGTATAGACCCTTTACAAATGCACAGGCTAGCAAGACTTTGCTTTGCTTTGGGTCTTGCTTTTCCTCTTAGCAATGTATCCTGGATATTGCTATATCATTTTGGGACACTTAGTGATCAGTCATGTGGCTTCGTGGTTGTATAATACTCCATTGTATGTAACCAATCCCTTGAACAGATAGGCATCAATACTACAGGAAATATTTTGTGCATATGTGGGAAGTGGCAGGCAGGATTTCTGTGAGGCCTCCTATAAAGATGTCCAAACCTCAATCATAGAAGCTGAATTTGTCGTTATATGTATGCTATATTTTATGGCATGATAGACTTTGCTGATGTATTGAGGTTACTAATCAATTGATACTAAGATTGAGGAATTATACTAGATTGTTTAGTAGATCCAAGGCAGTCAAAAGATCTGTGAAAGGAAAGGAAGAAGGTACTTTGAGGCTAGAAGGACAACAGGAAGGTGAATGGGGGCAGTGACTGGGAATAGAGGCAGTGTCAGGAACGGGGGTGGTGTCAGGAATAAGGGAAACCATCAGGAACAGGGGATAGGGTCAGGGAACAGAGGCATTGTCAGGGGACAGTGGGCAGTGTCAGGAACAGGGAGTGGTGTCAGGAACAGGGGGCAATGTCAGGAAGAGGGGACAGTGTCAGGAACAGGGGACAGTGTCAGGAACGGGGCAATGTCAAAAACAGGGGGCAGTGTCAGGAACAGGGGGTGGTGTCAGGAACAGGGGAAACCATCAGGAATAGGGGACAGGGTCAGGGAACAGAGGCATTGTCAGGGGACAGTGGGCAGTGTCAGGAACAGGGGGCAGTGTCAGGATCAGGGGGCATTGTTTGGAACAGAGGACAGTGTCAGGAAATGGGGACAGTGTCAGGTACAGAGGACAGTGTCAGGAACAGGGGGCAGTGTCAGGAAGAAGGGAGAGTGTCAGGAAATAGTGGACAGTGTCAGGAACAAGGGACAATGTTAGGAATAGGGGGCAGTGTCAGGAACAGAATCCAGTGTCATGGAACTGGGAACAGTGTCAGGAACAGGGGACAGTGTCAGAAACAGGGAACAGTGTCAGGAACAGGTAAAAGTGTCAGGACAGGGGGCAGTGTCAGGAACTAGGGCAATGAAAGGAACGGGTACAGTGTTATGGGACAGAGGACAGTGTCAGGAACAGGGGGCAGTGTCAGGTACAGGTGACAATGTCAGGAACAGGGGATAGTGTCAGGCACAGGGGACAGTGTCAGGAATAGGGCACAGTGTCAGGAATGGAGCAGAGTGAGGAACAGGGGACAGTGTCAGGGGACAGGGGGCAGTGTCAGGAACAGGGCACAGCATCAGGAGTGGAGCAGAGTCAGGAAGAGGAGACAGTGTCAGGGGACAGAGGACAGTGTCAGGGGACAGGGGACAGTGTCAGGAACTCGGGCAATGTCAGGAACAGAATCGAGTGTCATGGAACAGGGGACAATGTCAGGAACAGGGGACAGTGTCAGGAACAGAATCCAGTGTCAGGAACAGGTAACAGTGTTGGGATGGGGCAGTGTCGGGGGACAGGGGACAGTGTCAGGAACAGGGGGTAGTGTCAGGTACGGGTAATAATGTCAGGAACGGGGGACAGTGTCAGGGGATGGGAGCAGTGTCAGGGGACAGGGGACAGTGTCAGGAACAGGGGACAGTGTCAGGTACAGGTAACAATGTCAGGAATGGGGGACAGTGTCAGGGGATGGGGGCAGTGTCAGGAGACAGGGGACAGTGTCAGGAACAGGGGGCAGTGTCAGGGACTATGGGGCAGTGTCAGGGAACAGAGGGCAGTCAGGAACAGGGGGGCAGTGTCAGGAACAGGGGGGCAGTGTCCCGGAACAGGGGGCAGTGTCAAGGATAGGGGGCAGTGTCAGGAACAGAGGGCAGCAATTCCTGGTAAAGGAACAAAAGCTTCACCTGTACATTCTAAAGGAAATTGAATTTTTTTTCTTGTTTGTTTGGTGATGCTGGGGATCAAACCTGGAGTCTTACATATATTAGATACTCAAGCTACAACTGACTGCATTCCCAGCACATGTAAGACTCTAATCAGTGAATCCAGGCAAGTTCACCCACATTTCTGTCCTACAGAAACTGAGATAAATTTCTACTGTTGAGAGAATGGGATGTCTGGTTTCAGCTCACAGCAATCCTGGTGTTGGTGAGCAGAGAGCAAATTAAACATGGATGCTGTTGAAAAAGGCAAGAGGATTGTTCAGAGGTGTGCCCAGGGCTACACTGTGGAGGGGGAGGCAAGCCCCATACTGAACTAAATCTCCATGGTTTGTTAGGGTGGAAGACAGGTCAGGCTGCTGCTGGATTCTCTTACACAGATGCCAACAAGAACACAGGCATCATATGGTGAGAGGACACAGTAATGGAGGACTTGGAGAATTCCAAAACATACATCTCTAGAACAAAAATAGTTTTCACTGGGATTAAGAAGAGAGAAAGGGTAGATCTAATAGCTTATTTTTAAAAAGCTGCTAATGAGTAATGGCTACTGCCTTATTGATTATGAATCAGATGTCTTATGGATTTTAATGTGTCCTATAATTTAATTCATAACCCAGAATTTGGATCATGAATGGCTAACAGAATATTTTTGTTGGACAGTCCTGAATTAAGTAAAATTGGCCTTAAAATTAATATCTTTTTTTAAAAAAATGATTCCAGTTCCATAAATATCACTATTTTCCCTTTCTAAAGACATGATTGAGGAGCTGGAGAGATGGCTCAGCAGTTAAGAGCACTGGCTGCTCTTGCCAAGGACCTGAGTTTGGTTCCTAGCACTCAAATGGCAGCTGACAGCTGTAACTCCAGGGCCAGGGGATTTGATGCCCTCTTCTGGCCTCTGTGGGCATGGCATACAGGTGATGCACTTACATGTAGGCACAACACTCATACACATAAAATAAAAATAAATAAATCAAAAAATATTTGTATCTTAGAAATTTTAAAATATGTAATATATTATTATTAACCATAGTAATAATACTGTGTAAGATGTAAATTCTATATTATTCCTGTTATTTATTAACATATCTGAAATAGATAATACTATCATTTGTATACATATGCTTTTCTCTAAACTAGTTGTCTATTTCCTTTGTCCATTTTGTACTGAGCTGATTTTTTAGTACCTTTAACTAGCTCCTTCCCATATTTCCCATGTTTGTTTGTTTGATGTTTTTGTTACTTACATATGCAGAACTAAAACGTGTGTTGTTGAGTTTATGTATATATTATTATGTCTTCTGAGTTTTTATACTGATTGAACACCTTCCTCCTCCCTTCCGCTTCTTCCCTCTGTCCCTCTTTGCGTCTCTTCCTCCCTCCCTCCTCTCCCTCCCTCCCTATCTCTCTTTCCTTCTGACTGTATCTCACTATGTAGCCCAGGCTGTCTTCAAATTTTTAATTCTACCTCAGTCTCCCAAGTTCTGAGGTCACAGGATGTACCATCGCACCCTGCCATGTTGATTTAAACAGATTACTCACTGCTTGTGTGGGTTACCTTTTCATATTTAAGACTTAGGTTTGTGTGTGTGCGTGTGTGTGTGTGTGTGTGTGTGTGTGTGTGTGTGCCTGTGTGTGTGTGTGAATGAAAAACTAGCTCAACTCATGTTTCTAGCCCAAATGACTTTCCAGATATTTCGGTAGCAGTTATTGGATAATCTGTCTTCCACCCTCAAATGTGAAGGGAAGCCTCATCCTCAAAGTTCCTACATCTATTTGAACCCAATTCTGAACTCTATTTGGTTTTACCACTTTATTTGACTTTTAAATTATATGCTTTATTTAACTCATTGTTCAGTAGATTTCCTCCATTTACCCACGCCTTGTAATATTTTATCATCCATGAACTTTTTCTCAGATCCAGATTCTGCACACTCCATTTCAAAACATAAACTCAAAGAATAAGCTACACTTACAGTTTTGGTGCAACTTAGAAACAATTTTGACTCCTCCTCTGGGAAGTGGGCAGCCACTTCACCTTTCATTCTGTTTACTTCATCCTGACATGTTTAAGGGAGGTTCAAGGGCTGCTGTTTCATGATTCTGGGTGCTTATTCTCACCTGTTTTCACTGTGCTTACTCCTTCTCCTACACTCTCAACTATTCCAGTTCCTTCATGGCCGAAAATGATGGGATAATAGGTGTTTCTGTTTGCGCCCAGATTTTTGAAATCTGTACCACAGAATCCCGTGGCGACCACCTGCATGGAAGCAAAGAAAGCTTCAGTTCCCTCTGTCCCCCAGAAAGGCCTACAGAATTGCTGCTGTGTTAAGCTTCTTGCTGCACTCACCTCTTACCAGCTTTCATTCATGAGAAGCACCAATAGTTATTTGTTTAAAGGAACGCCGTGCTCTTCATTAACTAATTTCCAAGTTAAAAAGATTTAAGTTTTACTATGAAGGTAGAATGGAGTCAGAAGAGAAGTTGGAAAGCTACACTGTAATATCATAGGTCCTACCTGGTCCTACCTTGAGCTTGTGCATAGGCGTGTGGAGGAAGAAGAGCAATTATAGAAGTAAAGTGTTGAGACACGGGACAGAAAGGAATAATGTGCTCTATTGTAACTGAAGTCTTAAAATTAAGTATGTTCACAAAATTCCTATGCATTTTGCACTGCTCGAGCACTTACATACTTAAATGTAAACTCCATAAAGTTCAAACACTAAGCTTCCAATAAAGGCTCTCCAGGGGGCAGTGAAAATGCTCCTGAGTGGCAAAGCTGGGGCCAGGGGGTCCTGGTCTAATCTCAGTTTCTCAGCACTGGTCAAGCAGGGCATTTGCACATGGCACCCAAAGAGGAACTGGACCAAAGCAGACTCATGAGGCTCTGGTAAGCATGCAAGGGGCCCACTCCAGGATGCCAGAGTAAACATGGGACAAATTCAATGTAAACAAGAAGGGTACGTATGTTTATTCCACACGATGCTTAAAGCATTGAGAGTTAAGTAAAAAAGGAGGATTTTATGAGCTCTCCAGATACATAACTAAATATTTTTAGTAGGATTTTATGAGCTCTCCAAATATTGCTGCTGGCTACTTTCTCAAAGCATACAGCACATGCAGCAATGGAAAGATATACTATGAGCTTTTAAACAAGCACACAGACTGGGTGAAGTCATCCCTTTGAATATTGTTCTCTATGTAATCTTACAACTTTGATTATACAACCTTTACAGACACCTGCGCCTTCAGAGGCAGATGATCCAAAGAGTTTAAAGAAAAAAGGATGATAGCAAGAAACTTTATGAATGTAAAATTTTATGGGCTGTTAAAGCATTTGCAAAAACCACACCTTCTACTTCAGCTTTATTGCACAATATCTATAAGAAAATATTAGTTTTTAAATTAGAAAACATAAAAATGCTTTCAATATAGAAGAGACAATCTGATTTTAAACACAGTACTCTATAAGAATGTCTACCCAGGAAATAACAAATAGTCACAGGATACCAAGCTGGACAGACACTTCGGCAAAATCCAGTACATAGCTCCTGTAAAGTCAGTCCAAGACACTTGTTGCAAACTGTATGACTGTTCTTCATTGGAAGTCTGCGCACCACTCAAGGTGTTCCTTACACTTCAAAGAGTTGAGGCATCTTCAGCATGAGTGTTCTGAGTGAATCAGACCCAACAAAATAGCCATGGGCAGGGTGTTTTTCTTTAAGCAGATTATCTCTGGCAGCTGTTTTTAATGTCTATTAGTGACCCATTGTAAATTATGCTAATAGAAAACATACGTTAAATACACTTTTAAAACCTCTGCCTTTACAAAAAAATCAGTTTATAAATTTGCATCATAAAAATTAGTGTTAAGACCATTAAGTTGGCCTTCATTTAAATGGTTATATTATTAGTTGGTTTTTCCCAGAGTTGGGGTGACAGATCTTCCACTTTTCCATGTAGTGTAATCAGGAAAAAAAATCCAAGCTAAGATGGTATTCCAAGACAGATTAGTTAATAAGATTGCATGGTGGACTTTAGTGGGATATAACCCTGGACTGAAAGAGCAATGCAGGTTCATTGCTGACAGCAATACTTTGGTGAGTATTCAATTCACTTCAGACGAACATAATCTGGGGATGCAAACGGGCAATGTGCACACATAACATTGTTGAGGGGGTTGTGTGTATTAGAAAAGGAAGACGAATTCCTATTTATTAGAGCCCCAGATTCATACATGTTTAGATCAACTGTCTTATTCCATTAAAGAGTGTTGACCGGATATCAGATGCTTTCAAGGTGACACCTTTGTGGCCCAGGAAATGATCTTTCAGAACTTATGGCCAGCAGAACAAAGTCTAATAAGAGATCGACACATTTCTGTCAAGAATTATAAAGCAGTGGTTTTGCCCCCACGAGTCTGTGGTAGGTAGACCGAATTATCAAAATCTCAGATGTTTATAAAAAGTTTGCACTATTTGGAATCTAAGGAGACAAAGCAGTTGCTGCTGTGGAAACTGCATTTTTTCAGAACCGCTCAAAGCACCTCATCCAGATGAGTGAAAAACAAAAATTCTCAATACCATTATTCTTTGCACTTTTTGTAATTACTATATATATGTATGTAAAGAGGTTATTTACATTACTTTGTACAACCATGGGCCATTACTACAACAAAATAAATTATTTATACTCTAAAATATTTATTTAAAAACTATTAACATGTTATATATATAATAACAAT